AGTGTTGACCTAAATGACTATTGATGATAAACAGATTTCACCTGTGTCTAATCAAGCCACCATATAAATGCACCTGCTCTGTGATCATCTCAGAAGTCTGTTTAAGGTGCAGAGAGCATCATGAAGAACAAGGAATATATAGGCAGGTCCGAGATATTTGGCCAGATTTGGATGCAAAAAGATTTCCCAAGCTTTAAACATCCAAAGGAGGACTGTGCATCAATAATATTGAAAGGAAGAAGCCTCAGACCTCTGCCAATCTATGGAGACATGGCCGTACTTCTATACTTTCACCTCAAACAGGGAGAAGACTGATCAGAGATGCAGCCAAGAGGCCCGTGATCGCTCTGGATGAACTGCAGAGATCTACAGCTCAGCTGGGAGACTCAGTCCATGGAACAACAGTCAGTTGTATATTGCACAAATCTGGCCTTTATGGAAGAAAGCCATTTCTTAAAGGTATCCTTAAAAAGTTTTGTTTAAAGTTTGCCACAAGCCACCTTGGGAGACACAGCATACATGTGGAAGAAAGTGCTCTGGTCAGATGAAACAAAATCGAATGTTTTGGCAACAATGCAAAAAGTTATGTTTGGCGTAAAAGCAGCACAGCTCATCGACCTTAACACATCATTCCCACTGTCAAACATGGTGCTGGCAGCATCAGGCTTTGGGCCTGCCTTTCCTCAGCAGGGACAGGGAGGATGGTTAAAATTGATGGGTAGATGGACGGACCCAAAAACAGGAGCATTCTGGAATAAAACCTGTTGGAGTCTGTTGGAATAATTATGTATAAGATACTTAATGTTTGTGCTTATGATGTATAATGTGTGACATATTACTGTTCCAGAGAGGTGTTGCACAAGCAGTATACAGTAGGTCAACTCTCAGGAAGTATTGCTCAAGCTTAACGAAACCAGGAGGTTCTCGGACCATTTGACTGCAAGACATTTAAATGCAAATTGACCTGTTCACTGAGGCTGCAAATTGAATTGTATTCCTTGTTTCCTATTCCTTTAGCACAACCTCAGCTTGTGTAATTAGGGACCCCCCCTAACTTTAACAAATAGGGCAGAGAAAGCTGAAAACCGGGTTGGAGATTTGTAAACTCCGCAGTTTCTTCCTACTCTCCTCGCGAGTAAAACTAAATTAATTGTCTCTGTGCCTTCTTTCTTTCCCTGTATGTATGTATTATGTTTTAGGTGCTTAGACCTGACAGAGTCTGCAAAAGACCTGAGACTGGGATGGAGATTTACCTTTCAACGAGACAATGATCCACAACGTAATGCAAAATGTCCAATGGAATGGTTCACAAATAAACGTATCCAGGTGTTAGAATGGGCAAGTCACAGTCCAGATATAGTCTGATCGAGAATCTGTGGTAAGAACTGAAAACTGCTGTTCACAAACACTATCCACCCAACCTCATTGAGCTCCAGCTGTTTTCAAAGGAAGGGCAAACATTTCAGTCTCTCAATGTGCAAAACTGATAGACATACCTCAAGCTGTAATCACAGCAATAGGTGGTGCTAAAAAGCATTAACTCAAGGGGGCTGAATAATTTTGCACACACAGGGCCGGATTTATCAAGATCCAATTTTGCGTGCAGTAGCCTAATTTGCGCTCGCAAACTGGAATTTTGCGCAAGGGGCTGAACCATGGTTTGCGGGTGATTTAACAAGAGTGATTGCGTAACTGGTGGCAGGTGCAAAACTGTTGGAGACGCCCTATTTAAATTATGGTTTTGCACGTTTTGTGGTTTGCGGCAAAGTAGTTTTTAGTTTGTACAAACTA